TTATTATTATTTTTTTAACGAATTCAAGAGCTTGAATTTGGCTTCAAAGTGTAGCAAAATCCCTCTATCAAATTCCTGGTTACACTGCTAGTTTGGCTTTTCATTCTCTGGTGGACAAAGTCTGAATATAGGGATATATTCCATCTTCCTCAACATGGATGTCAGCATAAGATTTTCTCCTAACTTGAGTCATCAGGCATAAGATCAAGACCATGGTCAGGCAAGTGAGCGTTTCCTCCAGGGAATCTAAAGAATGGTTAGCACACCGGTTTAAGGAATTACTCCGAAAAAATATTTTCTCTGACCCTTTTAAGGAAATAGTAAGCCAAAGGAGACAAAACTCTACTCCCCTGCCTCCCAAGGGCTGGCCCCACCCCACTAGCTGCACAGAGGTAGCCCTCTTGATGTTGATTATGAATTAAACAGGGATGCCCCTGACCTTTTGCTGCAGAGGTGTTGAAAGGTGTCATGGTGTTGCTCAGACAGATGATCAATTTTCAGCTCAGACTCCGAGCAGCAGTGATTCTTCCTACCAAGATATTAAACCTCCTCCCATAACCAGAGTCAGGCAACCGTTGAGTCCCACAGACACTAAAGCCAGCGGCAGGTTGAGCTCAGTCTGGAGGGACAGAGCTGCCACCTGTGCTGCCCTGGATGGAATGGGCTGAGCACACTAGTGGGAAGCCATGCAGTATGCAAAAAATCAATTCATAAACAATCTCCCTTAAAGACTGGCATTGAACAAGTGGGTAAGTTAAGACTTAATTCTAAGAATTCAAAGCAATAAGCAGCTGCCCAGGCACAGAGCAGACCTCCCAGGACAAAAGTGACCCCAGACACATGCAGCACAGGACCCTGCTGAGCCAAAACCTTTCCCTTGACCACAAATGTGAGCAAAGGTGATGGTGGTCTCTGGGTAAGAAGGAGCAACACCCAGTGGCACAGCCACATTCACTCTGAAGGTTGTGGACTCATTCCCAAACAACCCTTTTGTCAGTTTCATAAACCACTTTTCAGAGACCATCAAATATAGCTACCTGGACTGAACACACTCTGCCTGATCCCCAAAATTCCATATAAGATGAAGCCTTTATGGAATTCTATCCTAACAAGGCCCAGGTGTGCCAATGGTTACATTACAAAACTGATTTGAGGGGTGGGAGAGGAGGTGATGCTTGCTTTGTAGGTATCTCAGTGTTTTTGCGCTTGTGCAGCAGTTTCTGTTTTGTGTGCCCTGATGGGTCCTTCCTAGCACCTGTGCAGCGGTTTGTTTTGTGTGCCCTGATGGGTCGGTCCTTCCTAGTGACTATTTTGCCCCACCCAACAGGAGAGGCCATGAGTTCCCCATCAGTTTGCCGGCTGCCAAGATCAGAAACAATGTCAAGTGCCACCAGGGAGAGAAATGTCTAAGTACTGTTTCCCCTACACTTGAGTGATGCCACTCAAGCTAGGAGCCATGTCATCACCTGCATACGCACAGCGACCGGCCCAGTAGGGAACTCCTGCCCAGCCAGGACCTCGCTGACCCTTGTCCTATCTCTACAGGTTTTGGCATGACCACCCCCGCCACGGTGGGTGGGAAGGCCTTCCTCATCGCCTACGGGCTGTTTGGCTGCGCCGGGACCATCCTGTTCTTCAACCTCTTCCTGGAGCGCATCATCTCGCTGCTGGCTTTCATCATGCGCACCTGCCGGGAGCGCCAGCTGCGCCGCAGTGGCCTGCTGCCCACCAGCTTCCGCCGGGGCTCAGCGCTCTCGGAGGCAGACTGCCTGGCGGGCTGGAAGCCCTCGGTGTACCACGTGCTGCTGATCCTGGGCCTGTTCGCCGTGTTGCTCTCGTGCTGCGCCTCGGCCATGTACACCAGCGTGGAGGGCTGGGACTACGTGGACTCGCTCTACTTCTGCTTTGTCACCTTCAGCACCATCGGCTTTGGGGACCTGGTGAGCAGCCAGCACGCCGCCTACCGGAACCAGGGGCTCTACCGCCTGGGCAACTTTCTCTTCATCCTGCTCGGCGTGTGCTGCATCTACTCACTCTTCAACGTCATCTCCATCCTCATCAAGCAGGTGCTCAACTGGATGCTGCGCAAGCTGAGCTGCCGCTGCTGTGCGCGCTGCTGCCCGGCGCCCGGCGCGCCCCTGGCGCGGCGCAACGCCATCACCCCGGGCTCCCGGCTGCGCCGCCGCCTGGCCGCCCTCGGCGCCGACCCCATGGCTGGCGACAGCGACGCCGAGGGCCGCCGCCTGTCGGGCGAGCTCATCTCCATGCGAGACCTTACGGCTTCCAACAAGGTGTCGCTGGCGCTGCTGCAAAAGCAGCTATCCGAGACGGCGAACGGCTACCCGCGCAGCGTGTGCATCAACACGCGCCAGAACGGCTTCTCGGGCGGCGTGGGTGCGCTGGGCATCATGAACAACCGCCTGGCCGAGACCAGCGCCTCCAGGTAGACCACCTGCCCACCTGCCCGCCCCACCGCGCCAAGGACCCTCGCCAGGCTGGCGTGCCACCGGGCGTGGCTTGCTTTCCTTATCTCAGACGCTGGCGCTTTCTTAATCTTTATCCAATAAAATGAAACAAAACCAAAAAAAAATTTTTTTTAAAGAAATACTATTTGGCCAGGCCTGATATTATCAAGAGCAGGTTTGGGGGAGAGCCTGCTTCCCTTATGGGTCCCCTCTTGGAGAACCGTGGCTCCCAGCAGACTCTCCAAGGAGAGGAAAAGTGGCACCCCAGACCCTCACCCAGTGCATGCCGCAGTGAGGAGAGTGCCAGCCCTGGGTTTTGCAGACTGGCATTAAACCTGGCCCCCATGTACATAAGCAGCCGGCAACCCCAAAACATATGGTGCAACTTTTCATGGCTCTGAATTACCTCCGCAGCATTTAGAATCCTGATCCAACCTAGCAGATTCCTTCTGGTCGTCAGAAGTGATATAGTCACAGTTTTGACAGGTGGGGGTGGGGAGGGCCATCTGTTACCTCCTGATGTGTATATATAGAACAGCCGCTACACACACAGAACGCTGTAGTATTATGCAATGAGATGAAACAGCACCAACTTGCAGAATGTGGCGTTTCCCAGAGATTTAGAAATTGCCTTGGTAAGGGGCTTAGCTGGCCTTTCTCAGCCTGTAGTTAGTCCACTTAGCACAGCACACAGGGCTGCCACTTCTAATGAGGGAAACCCAGGGTGGCCTGCAGGGAGGGGAGCGCTGGGCTGGAGAAGCCCTGTTCTGCTTCAGCTGTCTGACCTCACAGGCTCCAGAGGCACCTCTGAATCCCCTAACTCTCCTTTCTTTCACCAGCATCACCCACCAGAATGCTTTTCCTCATTAACCAGAAATATCTGAACCTTCTCAGACAAGATTTTGCTTTGTTAATGTGGATTTTTTTTTCTTCACTCCTGTCAGTTCAATGTATTCCCGTTTTAGAGATCCTGAGGGTACAGAGAGCAGCCCCCAGCCCCCCTGAATCAGAGCTGTGCCAACTGCACCCTTGGAGCACCAGGGCCAGCAGCACCAGAAACCCAAAGCAGCCATCCTACAAATATCAGAGAATTGGGCTCCAGATGTTTTGGGGGCACACCCCATTCTAAACCCTGTTTGGCCCCCACTGATAATCAAGTGAGTTTGTTTCCTCCATGCACAGTCTGTATTAGGGGTGGAAAAGGCAGGAGGGAGGGAGCTAGCTGGTGGAACAGGGGGATGGAAGCAATTTTAGGATTCAAGTTTTGTTCTGTGATCCTCAGGCTGAGGGTCAATTTCTCCCAGGGTCACCCTCTGCCACATAGCGGTCACTGACCTGGAGGAAGACCAGACGCCCATCCTTTCAGCCCATTTCCTCATCTGAAAAGATGACTATCCCAAGGACAAATGCCAGAGTCTAGTCAGGCGCACTGTGACCCACCAATATATACAGCTTCTGACGGGGAGTCTTAGAAAAGCACCTGACGCCTCATACCGTCTGCCTGAGAGGCATCAAAAGCCGTGAAATCTCGCTCCCTGGCAGTGAGGGAAGCATACGTGCCTGGAAACACACACACACACACACACACACACGCACGCACGCACGCACGCACGCACGCACACACGCACGCAGCATTAAGAGTCATGCTTGAATGTCACCTCCTCTTTCCCCTTCTAGTTCATGGCAGGAAGGAAAAAATGAGTTGGGAGCTGAGTGACTCTCCAGCTACTTTGGGTAATTTCTAATTTGAGTTGGGATTGGTTTTTAAACACAGGCCCTAATCTGGGGGTAAAGCTAGTGAGGCGGAGTGGCCAGGAGAGAGGTCAGTGTTACTGGATCCTGAAGGGTAGGCTTCCAAAGAGCCACACTTCTGGGATCTGCTGAGACTGTCAGTCAGGCCAGCTCATGAGCAACCCCACCAAGTGCCTGAAGGGACTGTGTGCTCAGAGAGGCACATGTTCTCTAGGGCAGGGCCCTCTCACAGAGTGTCAGATTTATCCCTTTAAAAGAAGGAAAGATTAAAAGGCATCCAATTAGAAGTGTCACCTAGACAACGAGAAATAACTTGGGGATCTGAGCCATCCAGGGAGGAAGTAGAGATCCCCATGATAGTCTAGATAGGCACCTAGACTGTGAGGACTTAATGGGAGGCAAAATAGCAGCCAACCTAGAGGAAGTGTGCCCCAGGAACAGCACAGGAGGCTTAAGACCCAGCCATCGAGGCTCCTTGAGCTAGACAGGCCAAAGAGGTTTCTAGGTGACCCTATTGACCAGCACATGGGACTGCACAGAATTCTATCCCCAGAGGAGGGAACAGGACCTGCCTCCAGAGACAGGCACCTCAATACCTTCTTTGGCAGTCTTCTCTGTCAGCAGTGCTTCCTAAAGTCTATCCTAAATCACTCATGCTGCAGCCTTAGCTATTGTGACTTCTTTTCCTATGCTTTGCTTTTGGAAGAAGGTAATTGTGGGCAGCTTGGGCAAGCTTTTGAAAGAATCACAGGCATAGTTTGAAGGAACAGGGAAGGACCCTTTCCTCTCACCAACCTCCCAGAGACACACCAGTCCTCCAGTGTACAATGGTAGCTCAAGATCCAGTGGCACGTGTGTATTTTTGCCTATGTTCCCCTGGTTCCCTCCCCCCATCTTAGTACATCATCGTCCTTCAGCTCAAGACAAAGGGAGGGCTCAGTGCCCCAGATGTCAGGGATGCTCCCTGGGAAAAGCCGGGCTCCCAAGGTCAGGGGATTAATGGAGGCTAGACCCACACCTAAAGGGTTAATTTGACACCCTGTTTGAGGGCAGGCATTGAGAACCAGAACTCTTTGACAAGCAGCGATGGGGTCCTCCCATCATTTCAGAAACAGTGACATTGATAGGGACCCCTTTCTTTGGTGCAGGTTCTTCAAAACCTCAGGCTAAGGACTCCATTCTCTTAGATGCTGTGGCCTCTCCCATCACATGGGGGTCTCCAGCTTGACCCACAGCTGTCTGCTCACTGCAGTCTACCACTCTCCCATGATCCAGGAGTCCCTTGCTAACCTTAGACCCACACTCACCCCTACAATGCTGGGGCTGTGGGGCAAAGATGGCATGGGCTCTTAAAAAGCCCTGGCTACCCGGCTGTGGCCACGCAGAGGCCAGGGTCTTGGTGAATAGTCAGACCTTCTCAGCTGAGCAGGCAGGTAAAGAACCCACCTATAGGGTCCTTGCTAGCTAATAAGTCCTGGTGGTCAGGCCCCTATGTTCTCTGACTATAGCAGAGCCTCCCCGTCTGATGAAGGAGTCAGAAGACTCAGTCTTAGGCCCTCAGCCTATGGAAAATGCCTGACAGTCCTGGGCATTTGCCCATGAGCATCACGCATCACAGCATCACACACACACACACACACACACACACACACACACACACACACACACACACCAGCCTTACAAAGAGCGATCAGCCCCTTTCCTCAAGGAAAAAATCCTTGTCTGGGCCACTGTAAGAAGAAAGATTTCTCATTTTTAACTCCCTGGAGATCTACTAGAGCCTGGAAAATTCCTCTCTGCTTTGGAGGAGTTTCATGTACACTTTGCATGAATTTGTGTTATACACAGAAGCCAGCATCCTCACCCAAGCCAAGCCCTGGCAAATAGCTGCTAAATTTACCCAGGCTCCTGCATCCCTCCATCAGGCCTCCTAGCAGATGCCCTCTTCCTGAGTGCTTTGGTGGGGAAGGGTGACTGAGCCCTCATGGCCAAAGGAGACGCTTCTGGGGAACCAAGGCAGATGGCAGCCCACAGAAGGGGAGACCACAAGAGCTGTGGGCCAGGTGGTTCCATCTTACTGTAACTTTTTACATTCTTAATAAACGAAAAGCACAATTCCACATGCACACTGTCTGGAAAGTATATCCAGACAGACTGCTTAGGGCACTTCTGAGTCCAGAAGAGGCGCTGGGGCGTCTTTGCAGCAATGGTTGTTGTATAACACGCTTGCTGGATTCTGCGGGGTGGGAAGGAGTGGAGGGGCTGCTGAAAGCATTCCAGACCACAAGACAGCTCAGCACGGACTCCCGGCCTGGACTCTTGCCCCTGGAGCAGCTCTGGCACCTTCAGGCACGTGCAGCCCCACGCCCAGCCAGTCTCATTATGCGTTGAGAAGCAATGAGATCTCTGCACTAACCTGGCCCCAACCCCCCTTCCTCTTTCTTCTAGCCTCTTCTCCTTCCCCTGGCTTTACACATCATTTTCTATGCTACATGTTCTCTCAGGAGGGGTGGGTAGAGCATGCGGGGCAGGCCAGCAGGGTTTCTTAAACAATACATTTATTTTTCTGAGCAGCACTCCAAGAAAGGACTTGAAGGGTGTTTAAATTAACGATGAATAAAATGCAGCCTGCCGCCCTTTGAGCTGTTTGCTTTCTGTCTGTCAGAGCCGCCTGCCTCCCCATCTCCTTGCTCTTACCTCCTCTAAGGGGGCCCCAGGAGACTTCAGCCTCAAGCATCAGACCTGGGTGGCGACTCCCCAAAGGAGTTACTCTGCATAACAAGGTTGACATCCATCTGAGCCAGGAGTACGATGGACCGCCCAGGCAGCTTGGCCCGGATTGGGCCACGGCCAGTTCCTGATAGCCAGGGCCAGAAAGAAGACAATGGCACAGAGGCAGCTGGCCCTGGGGGAGTCAGGAGATGGGTCTCAACGTTCGCTGTGATTTCTCCAACATTGTGCACTAGGCTCTCCAAAGGGAGCTTTAAAGATACTGATGCCCAGGCTCCACCTCCCTTCTCCTCCACCCTCCCATCCAAGAGATTGTGATTTCAATGGTCTCAGGAGGAGTGTAGACAAGCACTGGGATTCCTTGGAAGCTGCCGAGGTGATTCTAATGGGCAACAGGGACTTGAGCCTGCACTCTAACCACAAAGCATTCACATTGTGATGTGGAAAGAGCATCCATGTAGAAGCTAGGAGGTCTGAATCTCCTAGTCCTGCACCTAGCAGTCACTCAGATCCCCAATTTCCCCATTTCTAAAATGATATGGTCCCCTCCACCTCCCAGGAGTCTTATGAAATGTAAATGAGGGCGCGTTGGTTACAGTTAGTTTGGGACTCCAGCTCTGAGCAGCAGGGCCCTAGTTAGGGCCAGTGATGCTGCGCCCTCTACAGCTAAGATGTTGAACAACAGCTCCACCTGGAGCTGGGCTGCCGTGAGTCACCTGCGACGGCGTAGGCTGCAGCAAAGCTGCAGTAGGCTGCTGTGAGCTATCGTGAGTGCTGCCGTGAGTGGCTGGCAGCCGGCGTGAACTGCCAAGAGCCACCCATGAGCAGCCGTCCAATGGCCGGCAGCAGATCTGCCTCACCTGGGAAGAGCGCAATGATAATACAAATATGGGCTAGTGAAGTGATGCCCTCCACAACTAGACTGAAGAATAAAAGGACAGCAACTTGTCTGTTCCCCTTCCCGATTCCCCTACGCTGTTCCCCTCCTCCAATTCCCCAATAAAATCTTTAAAAAAAAAAAAAGTAAATGAGAGGCTGGAAACTCTGAAAAGTATAAAATGCTCCATAAATGCAAAGTGTCACCATTATAAGAGGCATATCATGATAGTAAGGGACCAGGTATCCCCTATTGCTTCTGCAGGGGACCATTTCTATGCTGCTAGCTGGGGAAGAAGGCTCCATCCAGATGACTGCTTCTGCCCAGGAGGCTTTTGCAAACCTCTTATTTTTTTGACACCACCTTAATCACCATCATAATAGTGTAAGCTCTACTGAGACTCTTTCTCCCCTTCACAGCCCGCTCCTCAGGTCATCCTTTTCCTTCAGGTTGCCCTAAAGATCAGAAGTAATTGGCAGGTCACTCAAGTCCTCACCCTATCCACCTCAATCTGCAAAAATCACCCAACAAGCTTCATTCAACTTGCGATGACATGCGGTATACTAATATTTTCTAGTCTGGTCTTTTGGTCTTTTCAATGCTGGTCAAAGCTACGAAATTGATTTCATGATCTGCCTATGAATCACCCCCAGCAGTTGGAAAAACACGAGCCTACAGTGTTTCTAAAAAGAAACCTTCCTTTTACGCTGCTTCCAGCTACTACCCATCAGCTCACAGTGGCAGTGGAGGCATCAGGGCTCTGGTCACCCATCAGCCCTCCCTTCTCTGTGGGTCTCCTGCCCCAGCTGCGTAATCAGCTCAGGCAGGTGTTTCAGCTGCACAAAGTGGTTCTTACCTTCCTTTCAAGTTCTATGGCCTGTGATTCCTATGACATTTTAGACTCCCAGCCAGCATCCCTGGATGGCCTGCCAACCCTCTCTTTTCCATGATCAGTTACCTTTCTGTGAATATATGAGTTTTCCTAACAAGAAGATAAGAAAAAGGAACTTACATATATCAGTCAGGCCCTTGGGCAAAGAGATTTGCATATTTATCTCACTATCCTCTACCAACCCTAGGAATTTGGTACTTGCCCTCCATTCCGTACTAGGTCAGGGAAGTTAAGTAACTTTAGTTTGGGACCAGCCCACCCCCAGTGTTAGGAGCTGGAGAGACAAGGGTGAGAAAGACAGCACAGCCCTGGCCTGACCTCCAGGCTCGTGAGAGGCCGACAGGAGACAAGGCCCCCAGTATGGCAGGATGAGGGCTCTGTGTCACAGGGCAGTGTGTGCTGCCAGGGGCAGCCAGGGGCAGCCAGCCACCCTGCCTGGGCAGTCAGGGAAGGCTCTCAGAGGCAGGCTGCCCAAGCTGAGCCCAAGAGGGAGCCTCAGTGAGCCTGCTGATGGGGGCGGGAAGTGTCCAGGCAGGAGGAACAGGATATGAGAAGATCAGAGAGGGAACTGCATTGCAGTTCCACAAGACTGGAGCCTGCAGAGTACTTTTTTGACTATAAGAACTGGAGTCTGGGCCAAGAAAATTACAGTCCTGGCCTTTTCCTACCCCATTCTGAGGGAAACATTCACAGAAGGGATGTTGGTGGAATCTCTAAAGAAAGGCTTAACCATAAGGCAACAAACGCTCGGTAATGAGAGCTCACTTCTGTTCACTTCTGGCTGACTGTGAGCAGATCTCTTCCCTTCACTAAGGCTCCTTTTTCACGTCAGCAAAATGAGCGGATGTCCTTTCTGCTCTGTCACTCTGAGGCTCGGGCGGAAGGGGAGGAGAACTGTAAGAGTTCCATGGGGATTCCTATCAAGAACCACCCTTAGCAAACACCTGCCAAGCACCTGACCCAACGTGAACAATTTGTGCCCAGTTCTTTTCCCATGGACTGGGCTGAGCAGGACCACCACCTGGATGCAGGATGGAAGGGTAATTGTCCTCCTGAGGACTGGTCAGCTTCCTGCTGAAAGCTGTAGCTTCGACACACATACCCAACCCTGCAGGAATCTTGGTGAGCTCCAGATCTCTGCTTTTATTCATCTCCACTTCCTCTAGGATAACTAAAGTCCATTTTCTAGAGCTGTGCTATCCAATGCAGTAGCCACTGGCCATGCACAACTATTTAATTTTAAATGAATTCAAATTAAATTAAAAATGTAGCTCTTCACTTGCACTAACCACACTTCAAGTGCTCAAGAGCCACATGTGGCTAAGGGCTACCATATTGACAGCACAGACACAGAACATTTCTGTCATTGCAGCAAGGTCTCTTACATGGTGCTGCTCTAGAGAGATCTCTGGGACCAGAAAGCTTGAACTCCGGGGCAACCCTAGGATTGGTGGGGGTGGCGTGGCAGGAAAGGAAGCCCTTCTCTCACCACTGAGCACCACCGTGGTCTTCTCATCCTCCAGTGGGCTTTCTCCCTTTTCCTCTATGGAAACCCCCCAGCTGCTGCTCACCATGAGGCACCCATCCCTCTTCCACCCCCAGGGCCTCCCTTAAGACTTTAAACCAGTGTGGGTAACATCCATGCTCTGTTGGCGTCTCCCTGTTAAGGAGGAGACTCTCTCACCAAGGCCACTGCAGATGTTGAGGTTATGGATAGATTTCTTTGGGATACGTGTACCTACACACATGAGAGCCATTGCTTTAAATACATATATGCACGGGCACACAAACATTTATATTAAAAGCCTACTTCCAGGAAGTGCTGCAAGTAAGACATGGAGTAAAACTTTAGGGAGCTACTCCCTTCCGCTTAGGCATTCATTGTGGAATGTTCTGGCAGAGGGGGAAACAACAAAAAAGGAGCATCCAATTGACTCTGCAATGGAGATACATGAGGCCCAGCAAGGAGAAGGTCACACAGCTTCACTAGCTAATCTCCAGCAGAAGCCAGATCGCCTTCCTTCCAGCTCACAGCCCTGTCCAGCCCATTTGTTTGGTCTTGTGCTCATTCATTCAACGTACACATATGAGCACCTACTGTGTGCACGATCTGTGTGCTAGGCCCTATGGAGATTACAGTCAATAAGATGTGAATCTGGCCCTCTATGGTCTAGGAGCCAGGACATAGTGGCAGATGACCACAGAAGCAGGGACATCCAAGGCAGATACGGAAGCAGGCACATCAGAGAGGCTGCTTCAGGGCTGAGCCCCACACCCAGCACTGAGTGGCTCTGTACTTCACCACAGCTCTACTCCTTTACCCCCACTTCCTCATCTACCTTCCATCTGGCAAAGAATAATACACATCCTTTGTTTATCAAAATCTCAGCAACCAGTTAACACCAGTTTATAGACCTCTTCTACCCATACTCCATCCTCTCTGCTTCTCCATCTAAAATTGTTCCCGATCAGGTTCATCAAGTTCTTGTCAGCCCGAGGTCACAGCACTCCTCTGCCATTAGTGTCTGCTACAGGACAGGAGAAGGAGGCCGCTGTGCAAAGGGTGGCGCCTGCCTGAGCCCAGCTGTGGTCCCCGAGCCCTGGCGCCTGCAGTTCTTCCTCCAAATCTGGAGCCTTCTCAGCGTTCCTCCCACCGGTGTGAGCCAGTCATCTCCCCCTTTGCCTATGAGCCAAGTTAGGTTAACTTGCAACTGAAAAAACGGGGGCTAACACTGTCCCTTTACCCAAAATAAACCCCTTCCTTGTTCTTTGAGTGCTGAATTATCTTTTACAGCAATAGCAACTTTCATGGGAACGTTTAATCATGGAATGCAGACATCCCTGGGAGAGAGTACAATGACGTAGTCACACTAAAGTGTAAAGGACTGACTGTGGAGCCTCTCCTGAGACCAGGTGCTGATGGGGTAAAGGAAGGAAAAGCTGTGGCTCCTGGCAAATAGAGATGGGAACCCTACTGATCAGACTCAGGCCACAGGAAAGGCCATTTGAGGGCCACGTGAATCAACCATGCTGACTTCTGGCTGTAGAGAACTGAAGCTGAATGTAAGCCCTAACACTCTTTCCCTTAAAAGACAAATTTCTAGCCATTACCTGATACATTTCTAACAAATGCTCCGTCTCCA